TGTCAACGTCACTGTAAGTTTATAATTTTTAAATATATATATTTATTATTAAAATTTTTTTTTTTTATTTAGTTGAGTCCAAATAAAACTGCATTAATGATATGTGACGAACTTGCAAATAAAATGGGAGCTCGTGGTGGATATTTACTTGGTTTACAAGAAGTAGTTTGTAACGGAACAATGATTCGTCCAATTCATCATACCGAGTTGTTATTAGACATAGTACTATTATGGGCTTACTGGGATGTAAATTATAGAAAGGAAAATTACATTGTTTGTCTCCAACCAAATTCTTTACTTATTGAAATTGTACCATTCGTAAGTAATAAATGTGATATAGGTGTCATATAGGATTTAAATTTAAAATTATAATCATGCATTATTAATGAATATTATTTTTATAGGCTAAAGAACATTTAACTATATGTGCAGAATTAAAATTTTCAGAACAAAAGAGTAAATCGTTTAAGTCTTATTTATTTGAAATAAGTGACAAAAAATTAATATGTTATAAAGATAAATCTGTAATTATTATTTATTTTATGTAAATTTATGTTTTGTGTACTGTGATTTACTTATAAATGTTTGCTTTAGGGATCAACAATATTGTATGAATGGTTTATAGAGGATTTGATTTGGTATATTGGATTTGAACCTAAAAGAAACCCACATGCTAGGTAAATATTAATATATTTGTTATTTTTTTATAGAGTAGCAAATTCAACGTAAAGTATTTTGGTGGCAATGACAAGTATTCATTTTTTCTACTAGATTTACTATTGCTTAATATTAAAATAGAATACTTACAATGGGTTTGATAAATTTCTATTAAAAGATTTAGTCAATCAATAATTAACTAATAGTCCTTTGAATGTGATTTAATTAGTATAATTGATCAATTTTGTTTAGTAACTTGTCAATAATAAATATTTTCAGTATATTTCTTAATTTTATTATATCAATTGTTTGAGCTATAATAATATATTAATTTTGATATTGTAATAATTACTTATCCAAATGTTATTTTATAATTTATCTCCTATTTTTGTTTAGATGGTGTATAACATTTATTTTAAAGAATGACCTACCTAAAGAGTAAGTTAAAATGAATTGGAAAACATCATTTATTTTAAACTAATAAATCATTTTTAGATTAAGAGATAATTTTGGTTGGTCAATTGCTGGTACTACTAAAGAAGATCATTTACGATGGATGGCAGCATTGTTGTTGGCTGAATATGAAGTTGATCAGATTACACCTCCAGTAACCATTAATTTATTAGATTGTTAAAATAATTTTAACAAGGTATTTTATAAGTTGAACATAATCATATTTAATGAGTTATGTTGTACTTATAGTTTAATGTTAATGTAACATTACAACATTTTGTATTACTGATTTGAAAAAAATTTTACATCAATGTTTTCAAACATTTATCAATAACATATGATCATTAATGTAAACAAATTATACATTTTAGTTGTATGTCCTATTAATTCAATTTGAAATTTTCAAATATTATTTTTAATAAAACACAATACAAATTATTAATCACAGTATTTAAATAATAGTTAATAAATCAATTATTCACAATTTAGTTGATAATCAATGATCTCATTTAAATTTACAATAATGTCTGTAATCCTTGAAGTCTGAATTGTTGTTTAAATTAATAGAATATTAATTTTGCCATTCTTGGAATTCATACTAGTCGAATTCTATTTATTTATATTCATCGTGATCTTATGAATTATTCAATTTGATTTTTATAGTATTGATAAAATAAACAACAACATAAATTTACACATACTTTTTTGTATAATGTAGTGAATTTAAATAACCAAAATGCATACCGAAAAAGAAAATTTTTTCTAATATATAATTAAAATCACCCCAGAATAATAATGATAATAATTTTTTATTTTCTTAAAAATAAATGATTTTAGATAACTGTGGGCTACAAATATTTTTTTTACTGTGATATCACTGTAATTAAATAATTTGTATTCAAATTGAATCAATTATTAATATGTTTAAAATTATATCGTATTTTGTTATTGTTTGAAAATATTTAACAAAAAAGTTTATTTGGAAATGTTTATAATATACTATTAAATTACATAAAATATTTTGGTGCTATTAATGTTATTATTTAATTTTTAAGTTTTAATGTGTAAAACAATTTATTTTTGAGAGTATTTTTCTTTATTATTATTATGAATTATTTAATTTTTATCAATACAATATTTTTTGTTTTTCAATTTTTCTAAAACTTTTAGATTTGTAAATAAAGATTATGTCCATTTAAGGTAATATATAATTATTGATTTTTGTTATATCGACAGTGTCTCGTTTTTTACCTTCTTGATCATTAAAAAATGTAGTTAGTGAATAGAATTATTTTAATGTCTATTCACTAATCACTATTGATTTGAAAACTATTTGTAAGATTGTTTAGTTATTAATCAAGCCATTATATTATTCATTAGTCGTTGCCATAAACAGTAACAGCATTTTTATCTATAAGGTGCAGATTTTTAAAAACATCTCCTTCTACCTTATTAGCCTCGGAAAGGTAACAAAACGTTCATTTTATATTTCTCATAAGTTCATTAACTAACTTGGTTACTTATTTGGGTGATTATTATGCTTTAAAACCATACTATAATAAAGATACACTAAACTACAGAGTAAAGACCATCGTCAAAGATAAAATTCCCTCCCCACCAACCCATAAATAATACATATTAAAATAATAAAGATAATTAAACTTTTAAAAATACAAATAAATCAACCAATTTTATAGGATAACATTCAAACTTAATTGTCAACTAAATTCGATTGGGTTTTACGTACATCTATCCGATTTACTGATTATTAATAATAACTTAATAACTTATTAATTTATACCAAGTGTAAAATAATAAATATTATTTATCTAAAATTACGTTAAACTGTTATCTACCTAATGCACCTATACGTGTTCGAAAATATGGGAAATTTCTTAGATATTGAGTAATACAGAATTTAATATATCCAAAACAAAAATAACTGGTCTAAATGACCAATAACAGTAATAAGTAATAACACTATCCCAGGTTAGATAATATAATATGGATCCATAGTCCATCTCCATTTTTCAAATGTTTAGCTAAATATTCGTTGATGTTTCTTCAAAGTTCAAATGTAAAAATATCGATAGTATTCATTCCGTAGTCCAAATAGTTATTATAATTTATATTATTCAATAGTTTTTGAAAATTATCGAATAACTAGATAGTTTAAAACAATCGAATAAATCAATAGTTTGAATTCGGTGGTTAGGTTGAGTTAAGTGTAGTGATGGGCGTTACCAACTAGTTTTGACTATCGAGTTAAAAAAAAACAATCGAGTGATTTTTCGGTATTATCGACCGAATTTACTTGATAATTTTCACTTATTAATTTTCAATAGTTCGATAGTTTTTCAATAGTTCGATAGTTTTTCGATAGTTCGATAGTTTTTCGATAGTTTTATCTTTTTTTTTTAATATATATAAATCTCGTGTCACAATGTTTGTCCTCAATGGATTCCTAAACCTCTTAACCGATTTTGATGAAATTTTTTACACCGCGTGTAATTTGGTCCAACTTTAAAGATAGGATAGTTTTTATTTCAAATTTTTTAATACATTAAATATTTTAATTAACTTTTTAATAAATTTGTATGATTGCATAGTGTATTTCGGGTTTTTCCGTGGCCGACCGCGATAATTGTATCTATCTGTAACCTGACCTTTTTTCTATTGTATATGTTTTATCGTCGGTGGCGTGTAGATATGAATTGTTCCGAGAATTATCGCCATAATACGTGTAGATATGAATTGTTAATACAGCCAAGGTTAGGTTAAAAAAAAATATTGTGCACCATTTGACATACTCAATAGTTTACTATGCTCTATGATTTCCAAAACCACTAATAAACTACAAATAAAAAAAAATATATTTTCTCATAGGTACGTAATAACCTATTAATAAAACGAGACATAGCCACAGTAGGAGCACAGGAATAATAATTTCAATTTATACATGTAAGTAATATCACAAACTTTTGTTAATTAATATATCAATGAGAAAATGGCACAAAGCTCCCCACACTTTTTCAATAATTGTACAAAAATTTTTATATTATTTTTATTTAACCTCCATTGAAAATTATTTTTCAAACAATGTCCATTTGTGGTTTAGATTTGGAAAATCCATGTTTTTCTCATGGGCAACTATATGTTGCGTGTTCACGTGTTGGGAAACCGTCGAATCTATTTGTGTTAGCTAAAGACAGATTAATTGTGCACCGATTGGTGTTAAATTAAATTGAAATTGAAAGTATTTATAATTCAAAAAAATAGTTATTAATGTTTAAAAGTTTAAGACTGTCTGCCTTGCCTATCTCATTCATGAGTTTAAGCGTCACATGTCATTTACTGTATTATACTGTAATATACTTATATTTGTTATAAAATTAAATGGAAATAATAAATCTGATAAATTTTTATTTTGTACCTATTGATTTCTGCTTAATATCAAGTGTAAGAACATTTTAATTAATTGTGTTCAATGTACTTCCCCTTCAAATCTCAATCCAGTGAATTTGTATACCAACATCAACATTTTCGTCAATAATTTCATTGTACTAAAGGGTTATAGTAGTAGAAAGTCAAATAAGGAGATTACCATATTTTTTTACAAATACCATCTGTGTGAAAAAGCATAGTGGACTCCGTGACTAATGTTCTCTTATTGTTCCTCTTAGATTGTTTACTATAATGTAATATAACAAAAACTTTAGCCACAGCAACGCGTGGCCGGGTCAGCTAGTAGTTTTATAAAACAACCGAGTAATTAGATAGTTTAAACTTTAAACTAAAGAGATGTTTTGTAATTTTTGTTGATTATAGTCGTGTTTGGGAACCCTTGTTACGCTTATCAAATATTGCTAGCGGAACATACGTCTAAAGAGTACTTCGATAGTTTTCACTCGGTTGTGCCCATCACTAGTTAGAGGTGTCTTATTATTTGTTACATGTGGTTGTGAGACACTTGGCTTATTTTTTTCTGGAATATTGTGATTTTTATCTTTTAAAATAAAGTTATAATTTATATTTTATTTTCTCCAAGTCGTTTCTAGGTGGCTACCTACCGCATTAATTAACTGGTGAGAATTTTTCCTATTTGAATAGTTTTATATAATTAATATAGTATCATATTTATTTTTTTCTTTGAATATTTATCTGTAAATTAATACTGTGGATACTGGGTAACTATTTTAAACTGTTCACAAATAATATTAATTTAAAATTTAAGCTATACGAAACCATTTTTTAATTTTATGAAAATTCATAGTTTTAAATATTTTATTCCTACAATTATGTTGAGTATGAGATAAATGATGCCAGGAACAACCTCTAAATGATCTAATTAATAGTTTCAATGTTTTAAACATTTTAATCATAAGCGTAACTAGACCTTAAAGTTAGGGGGGACTTCAGCCCTAGAATTTTTATAATAAGTAAATTGAGTTGGAGGCTTTGTCCTCCATACCCCCCAAACACCTTACATTCATTGATTATACATGTAATATAAATGTAAATGAATATTTAATTATAAAAAAAATAATAAACCAAGTGGTATTGAGGTTAAATATTTATATATTAACATATTTTTTTTTTATTAGAAACTTGGTGAAAACCATTAGTTTCAACAATTACAATAATATATATAACAATTAAAGTTATGTAACAGAAAATTAACAATTTTAACAATTAAATATTCGAATTAATAAAAACAAAAATAGACAGATAATTAAGAAAGTACAATGAATCAAAGAAATAGATAAGAGTAATATAATGGTGCGTGAGTAATATAATAATAACTTGTCGTCACTGTAAATTTAATTAGAAGATAAAGTTTAACAATATAAAATGGTATAGAATCAAGTATATGAGAAAAGATTAGATTATTAAATTTAGGATTTATTTAATAGTGAGGTGAGAAGGGAAAGGAGTGGTTATATTAACATATTATTAAGTATTATTTTAGATATAAATAATTTAACAATTTTTAGTTTATTGACAACTTCTTAGTAGGGAGTATTTATGTAGTAAAAATTACACAGCATGATACGTTTTACACAGAATCATTACATACAATAATATAGTTTAAATTTAAGTTTAAAAATGTTACTATTATTGGCGGGAGTGTGGGACTAGGAATTATGACAGGGGGGCTAAAATTTATGTTGGGGGGACTAAACCCCCCAAGTCCCCCCTAGTTACGCCTATGATTTTAATGAACATTAAGAAATTCCTTGATAAAACTAGACGAATAGTGTATTAATGTTAGTTGAATTACTACGCGACAGTGGAATTTGATTACGTCATGCATTTTTTGGATGACTGCATCGTCCTCTGACCATTAGTGGTTCATTGTAAAAATTTGGTGGTCCACAGAAAAATTTGAACATTATTTGTGTTTATAATCGTAATATACAAAAGTATTGCATAAAGTCACTGTATGTAAGTCCAGTTTACGATAAATAAGAATTAACAAGGAATAATATTGTTTTTATTATTGCATGTTATAAATTTGTAATTAAATAGACTTAATAATATCCTTATGGTAATACGTTCTAAGAACATTAATGATTCGAATCCAGTCTTCATTTCAAAGAGAAGAGCTAGAGCCAGATGGCAAATAACTAGACATCATCTTAACAAATTCTATATCAAATAGATTAAAAAATTTTTTTTATAGAATTAAAATTGAACATTTGAAAATTAAATGCTATCAAAATAATATCACTTAACTTAAATCAACTAATGGCTCCCTCTGTCCTAAAATGAAAATCAAAGACCAAATCATCATTAAAACTACATGCAATTAACAAATTAAAAAATGGAAAAGCCCCAGGATATGATAATCTCATTGCAAATAATATACTCAAACAACTTACAAACAAAACAGTTCTCAACATAACTTATATATCTTCAATGACTTCAATGCAATGCTCAATCATATTCCTACCTAAATCAGGCCAAACCCAAAAATACTACCGTCTAATCAGTCTCTTTCCATTCCTTGAAAAGTTTTTCAAAAAACTTCTAATCATCCATTAAACGAGAAAAAAAATACTGCTCAAGTATCTTCTTTGACGTTGCGCAAGCGTTTGACAAAGTATGGTACGGGCGGTACAGCGGACTTCTCCATTAATTAAAAAAGAACTTCCCAACCCCACAGTATTTAATACTCAAATTGTATCTCAGTCATCGATCTTCCCAAATAAATATAAATAACTCTTTCAAACCAATTTCTGATGACACCAATGTACCTCAAGGTGACCTATTTCTCCTCTCTTATATCTAATCTATACTGCAGATATATCCACATCTCCCTTCGCTATTCTCAATACTTTTGCCGACAACACTAGTTTCTTAGCCACCGATTCTAATCCTATTCTTATTTTCACAGTTGCCAAATTTGCTTCTGCAATCTTCTGCTTGTAAGAAACCTGAAAATTATAGTATACAATATTTTATTTGTTTGTTTCAGTCATCATGGTTGCACAAAAGATGTTGAGTTTGGTATTGGTCGGGCTCTTACTATCATCTTCCGCTCATGCTGGTCCACTGACAGCGGGAATTTGTTATGCCGGATGTGCAGCTGTCACTGTTGCTTGTTTTTCAGCAGCTGGGTTTACTTTCGGCACTGTCCCTGGAGCAGTGATTGCTGCTACACCCGCGTTAGCCGCGTGTAATGCAGCTTTTGGAATTTGTGAAGCTAGCTGCGTCGCTGCCTTAGTTGTACCCGTACCCTAAAGAATATCGTTTTAAACAGCTTAAGAAATGAACTTTGTTTTCCAATTATTAATATATTTTTTTAATTTTCTTTTATTAAATACTTTATTGAATATCATCAAGCATAGAAAATAATTAATAAATAACTTTTTACATACTGAATTACTAAATATTATAAATAAACGGCTTTCCTTTTTTTCAGTTTTATTTATTGGTTATTTTTATTTATTAAAATATTAACTATAGGTATATACCTAGTGTTTTAAGTATTCTACAACATTGGTTTATGATAAGATTATTAAATTATCATTGACGATGTAGGTTTCTTATTTATTTATTTTAGATTCTGAACGGAGTGATGAATATATTGATTTTACAATGATGTGTTGTTTTATTAGTATACATATACAGCGACATACTTAAGAAATTTAAAAAATGGTTCAATTATCAATATTTATTCTAAAATCTGTGGTATTCTCTATAATAACTAATAAGGGAGGTAATTAATTTGTCTTGTTGGTTAAGTTGTAATTATATTCGGATAAAAGTTTCTTTACTAAATACCACAGTTATTTTTAAATCATAAATAAATAATGATTATTAATTATAGTTAATACAGTTAATTAATAACGTTCAACTGTGTAATTAATTAAAAATTATAAAATCATCATGACCAAATTATTGTCTAGTAATAATAACAATGTATAATAATAAAGGTGTAATGATGTGCAATTAAGCTATCATATCTTTTAAATTTAAAAATATGTATTATAAAACCATTATAATAATTAACAGCCATTAAGATTAAGAATACAAATTTAATCAATTTAATCAATAGATAATTCGCTTATTACGATGCCATATATAACGATATTTCGAGTAAAACCATTGATTATAGAATTGAAGTTGAAAATTTAAGTTACCTGATTACAAAGAAAAAGTGTGTTCTGTTTGATTTGATGAGATGTATGTAAAAGAATTTGTGGAATATTAAAAAGAATTTGATTTTATTGAATGTTTTTAAGACTGGTCATTATGGAAGGACCAATGAAAGTGCGAACTATGTTCTAGTAATTATGGCCCTCGGTCATAATTACACAGACTTTTTTTCACAGACTTCAGTAAAAAAATCTAATTGCATATTTTTTCTCATTTTGGATTAAACAAAAAAAAATTTAATACAAGATGTTCTTAAAAAATTATTCGAGGTTGGATTGTGCCCAAAAATTATAATATGTGAGCAAGGCCCAAACAATATTTTAGTACCTTAAAATCGTTAAATGTTTCTGAAAATAGGCCTTATTCTTTTATCGACAACAATAAAATATTTACTTTTTTTGATGTACCACGTTTACTTAAAAGTGTTAGAAATAATTTAATTAAAGTTTGTTACATATGAAGTGATCGCAATATAATTTCATTTAATGACATAAAAAACATAAGAGTTAGATAAACAAAATTTCTTCAAGTATTTCTAATTTATCTTTCTTTCCTCTGTCATCTGATGAAGATTCTTTTAACTAAAATAGTTAAATATAATTAATGAATAATAATGTTACTTTAGAAGATTGTTCTGTTTCATACTTCGAAGGATATATTTTAGGTTATAAATGTATGAAAAAATTTAATTGTGATAACTGTCAAAATGAATTATTTGTAATATGTGCAAAATTAGCATTTTATGAAGTAATTGTATTTTACATATAGTAATAAATTATTTAATATTAATACTTGTGAGTGTTAATTTCTTTTATCTATTTTTCTCAAACCACAACATCTCAAGACTGACGACGACGTGCTATGTCGTTTAAAGAATTAATTGTACTGTGTTCAACGTGTCCTGCACAGCGATCACTACAACTAACAGAGCGCGTAAACAAATAATACAATAAAATTAAAAATTAGCTTGATGAATCATTGACAAACTGCATATAATATAGATCATAAAATATACATAATTAAACAACTTTTAATTTGCAAAATATTTAATTAAAAAAAAATTATTTTCAATAACCTCAAAATTAGCAAAAATTTCAGAATCGTTTTTCATCATATTATACAGACTTGTCGTTAATTTTTAAATTTAACACATTCAATATGTACCTGCTCAATAACAAAACACAACTGTATTATTTTATTTATAAATTATAGTCATAATTTCATTATGTATATTATTTGCGATGTTGCGTTTTTATTCTTTTTAAAATTTTATCACAAATAATTTATTTTATTTTATAAAAAAAACCACAAAGTATTAAAATGCAATAAAAATAAAAATTACAATATGGATAAAGATATTTTGTTTTATTGTTAAAATTTGGTAAATCTAATGTAATGTACTAATGTGTTTAGTTTAATAATATACTTGCACACAAAGCAGATTTTACTAAATCATAACATTGCAAATTAAATTAATTTTTCGTAATAAAATAAAATATTACTTTCTGTTGCGTACAACACGACATAATAAGTGACTATTTTTTTGGCGATAGCGCGATACACAGAAAATATCGGTTTATCCATTATAAAATAAATTATAGACTTATCGCTTTTTCTGTCATTAGTTTTTGGTAATGACTTATCACCAAAAAACCGATCTAGGAATATTATATTATTTATCATTAATAATAATAATAATATAATATTAATTCATATAAAATTATCTATCGGCAGCTATTATAAATAAAATGTTAGTCACCAAAAATCCCTACACCATTGCCTATCTGTCTACTGTATAGTCTATAATCAATGCCTAATCAATGAAACCAAATCATCGGGTTGAGGGTGAGTTGCGGTCCGACTTGTCGTTTCCGGTGTTGATGACCAGTGAATTGCGGCCCGGTAATATTTTAGGTATAGGTTAGTTGCGGCCCGAGTAATTATCATTACCTAAGTTATATATACATATTACATAACTATAAATGAAAGATTCACAATGTATATGGGAAGTTATATTTTTATATAATATAGATCAGTGATTCTCAACCTTTTTGCTACTACAGTCTACAGTCCACTTTGAGAACTTTCGATACGTCACGGACCACCTCAATGAGAATCAATTTTTTTCACACATTTTAAAATTTAGATTATAAATAAATAAATAAACAATGAAATTCCTTACAACAGTCTTTAATGTTTATAATTGATAATGTTTTACTAAAGCTTAAAATAATTAACAATTTAACGCAAATTACTATTCTAAAAAAATGTACATTTTAATATTATATTTATTTAAGATTGTATTATTATCAATTATCATCATATTATATTATTAATAATATTTTAAATTTAAATGAATATATTAGTGGTATACATTTATATTCAAACTAAACTTAAAAATTTGCTATCTTTTGTTAGATTAGATAAAACAGAACTAAAATAACTACGACAACACGCGCATGTCGGCACAGTGACTTGGTAGCCTACTAGTATATTATTATATTAATAATATTTATGTTGAAATCTTACAATTATACACCCACCCGGACTTGGCTACTAACCCATATATTTCAGACATGAAGCAATTGCTTCAAATAATCTTACATCCCACTGCCACATATATATGTAATATATTTACATTATTGTATGGCCGCAATTCGTACGTACCTCTCATAAACCCGGGCCGCAACTCGTACGTTATTTTGGGACTGGGTCGCAACTCACCAACACCGAATCATCGCATATTGATATTACCTATTCTCTACGATCACAACTCACTAGATTGCCCGCGGATCACCTTGAACAACTCAACTATTCCGCATTGCACCCAAGTTAAATATCTCGGTCTTATCCTCGATAGAAGACTTACCTGGGGTTCTCATCTTATGGACAAAAGAAAAAAAATTAAACTGCAGATTTCACCTATTCAGACCCTTACTAAGATCCAACATCAATATTCAAAACAAAATTATTATATACAAATGTCTCCTCCGTCCCATCTGGACATAAGGCATTATATTCTGGGGCCCAGCTAAGAAACCAAATACTCATACGATTCAAGCTTTTCAATCAATTTGTTTCCGAATCATTGCCAAAGCTCACTGGTACGTAACGAACAAATTACTTCACGATGACCTTCAAATCAAAACCATTCATGACACAGCCACCAATTTCTACAAAAGGTTTCATGGGAAACTCCTTATGAACCACAACCACCTCATCTCTCAACTGGCCTTAAAAACTCTTTCAGATAATCCCACAAGACGTCTTAACCGTAACTGGTGCAGAGATCTTCTTAACCCATAAAATACATTTATATTACTCATACAAATTTTATTTCATTGTAATAGGTGACTCGACTGCGAGCCTTCCTACACGTTACTCGAAGCCATTTTTATATTATCTTATAATACCGTATCATATTTGCTTATTGTATATAATGTACAGATTTTAAATGTTTAACCATTGAAAACCCGTCTTAATTTATGTTAATCTTTTGTCCAGTCCTATAGGGCAAACGGCTGAACATATAATGTCGTATGAGGTATCAATCGATCAGAAATATTGTGTAGATAGGAACAGGGGAACTCGTAAACAGATTAGTTAAACGGTTTACAAGTTATAACTAAAAATATTTAAGTACTTTGAAGACCTAACGAAACAGGGGTGGACTGGCGTAAAAAATCGGTCCGGGCAATCATAGATAAAGGCCCAGCAGCTCAGGTATTACACCAATAGCATTAGATCAGCATACATTTTTTAATAGTAATAGCTTAAACAGATAGAATTAGTGACTCTTCTCTCTCCCAATTATTCAATCATCATATATTTAAAAAATTTTTTTATGTCCTTAACTGTCAATTAAAATGTACAATTATTATTATCGTAAGGCCGAAAATTCTAACATCTCAGGGGGCGATCACCCATCCACCCGTCGGCCAAGGCCGCCCCTGTAACGAAATATATATGTCCTCCTATCCACCGCTTATCAATCCCCACTACTCTCATCGCAACGGTGCGACGACGGGAACGACGGTGCGGTCTCTCAGGTCTCGGATGCCTATGAATATCCAGCGCGACGTACGACGAGTAACGATGGCGCGGTCTCACGGCGGCGGCGGGCGGACGCGGAAACAACTAAGACTAACGATGACAATTGATAAAGAAAAACCATTTGGC